ACTGTAGCTCTATATATACAGCATTAGGCTCATGGAAGAGAACAAGACAATCCCATAACTTGGGAATTGCATCCAGTCCTCTCTCTCTCTTCCAAGGAGTTCTTCTATTTCTTGTGTTCCACTGATACAAGATCTAGAAAGCTGTTTGAGAATAAAGTAGAAGATCTTAAGGTATATAGAGATTCCAATCATACATCCAAACCGAAGACCAAAACCAACAAGTTACCATACCACGACGACCAGGACGACGAGACGAAGAGATCACCGTCGAGATCGCCGCCAGCCGCCGCCGCACGCGCCGCCGGAAGGGAGCAGCTGCCGAGAGTCACTCGCGCGCGTGAGAGCGCATTGAAGGTCCATTTTCCGATCGGTCAACGCCGTTGCCTTCGCTGTGACGTCAGCTTTCTGGATTGGTCAAGTTTGTTCGATTCCGAGAAGATTTGATTTGCGGTCATCTGTCCGGGCCAGCCAGATCTACATAAATTTTAAGCAGTAAGTTTTCTTCATCAAACCTTTAGATCCACTGCGCATAGGTTTATGTTGAATGTTTGTCCGTTATTTGTGCATATCGAGATCCTCGTGGGTTCCAACAATTGGTATCAGAGCTTGAGGTTAATCCGTTATGTACAAGATTCGGATTAAATTGCTTAATTGTCTATGTGTGCTCAAGCGCAGCCATATATATTGGATTATATGCATAACTTGGTTTTGCAGGAAATAGTTAATCCACTATTATGGCCACCCTTTTTATGTGCTTGTGCTTGATTGATGGTTGGTTGTATGGTTAAATTTGTTTTTAAAGCCTCGGGATTGTCGAGGAATTATGGATGAATGCTTGTATTAATTGCCCGGTGGTTGACCGGATAGTTTAATTAATTAGTAGAAGGCATGTACATCCACTCGTTGGATCTAGGAATCGATTTATGTAATTTTGTGAATTATATTTTTGTATTGTGATCGACCGTTGGAGACCGGGCCTTCACAAAGATGCAAAGAGACTCGACAAAGCAAGGAAGA